ACGCACAAATGACGCGTGAAACTTACTCAGAGGTACAGATTCACGCGAATAAGTGTCTCAGTGACTATTTCGCTGTGTCTGAAAAGCGCGCGCTTTTTGAAAATGGAGGCTGCAATGATTGCAGTGACCTTTGTGCGCCCGGTAACTAAAACAGAATAAGTGTCTCAGTGGCTACTTCGCTGTGTCTGAAAAGCGCGCGCTTTTTGCAAACAGAGACTGCAATGATTAGTGGCCTTTGTGCGCCCGGTACCTACAACAGAATCGTTCCAGAACAGAAAGCCCGTAGCCAGCCAAGATGCACGATGCTGTCCTCCTCCTCACCGCGAGATGAGGGCCGGTGCGCGAGGGAGCATCGCTCCCCTCAAACGGGGCAAAGTACGCATGGGATAACAGAGCACGTGCCGTAGCGTGATGTGACGATGCGCACTCATTGCTCCATCTTGCTGGTAATGCTGAGAACACTATCTCCACCCCTCCTGAGATGCGCATAAGCAGCGGTAATTGGTAGATATCAATAGCTTGCCGTTTCATTGTCAAATGATGTGCTCTTTGATGGCGCAGTGGTTCACGCCTCACACTCACGATTCAAAGGACCCACGTTCGATTCCGCACGCTGGAATCTTTTTTTGCTTTTTCTTGCTTTCTGGCATTTTCATACGTATAGATACGTATACATATACGGTGAGTGACGTCGACGCTGACGCCGGTGGCAAACTCAAACCGAGAGTGTCCATAGAATGTGTATCGCAATAAAAGATTGGTCCTGTAGCTATATTCTCTAACCTTCAGCTCATCTATTTGTCCTGATATATAATGAAGCTGTAGAATGTACTGATTACGGTCTATTCCAATGTGACCATGATATATATTGTCATGGAGTCGTGAAGTGGATGAATGGAGCAGACTGCGGGTTGAATAATTAACTGTTTATTTCGGCGAACGGAACGGAAAGTCTTGCACTGATAACGGGGAACGGAGCGTCGACCGCCGATCAACTGAGAAGCGGCGAAGCCCGTCGGCATTTATACACTTGCCATCAAACGTTCTAGCGTTATCCCTAGCGGCAACGTGGGTTCCAGAATAATCTGTAATGTTCGCGGAGTGGGCGTAATCTTAATGAAATAATCTACTGCAAGTCCGAAGCCTCTCGAACACTGAAGGTGCGGTTTGCCCTGAGAATTGCGTACAGTGTAACGGGGTCATAAGCAAAGTGGAAGAAAGGAACGTGGCAATATTGTGAAAAAGCTTGAAGTGAAAAATATTGACTTGTTTTTTCTAGAAGTTCCCATTTTATAGTTTCCTTTGTAGAAGTATGGTAAGGCTTCTTTCAAATCAACCGATACCGTTCCGTGCACCCATGTTCTGAACTCGTTCAAGCTTGTCACAATCGGCATTTGCGGGAGAGCCCCACACATTGCAACCTTACTCTATAGTTGTTATGGCGTAACTCTTGTAAAGGATATTGTGGGCCTGCTGAGAAAACAGCTCTGTGTTACGCTGCAAAAACCCAACACCTCACATGCCTTTGCTGTAACGAAATTGACGTGCCTGTGACAACACATGGATGATGTAAGGAATATACCCGGATACTTATACTCAGAAACAGTTTGTAATGAAGAACCAGACAGACTATAAAGTGTCAGTGCCATACGTTTTTTTTTTTGTGTGTGAAAAGCGTGTGAACAGTTTTTCGCACGTTTATTTGCATATGTGATTCACGGCGTCAGTTTTCTATTTTTGTTAAAACATCCTGTAAAATAACGGTATCATCGACGCTTGTAACTTTCCTATATATTATTGGATCACCAGGAAATAATCTAATGGAACAAGCGATGGAGTCAAGAAGATAATTTCTCAATATTTAAAACAGCAAGGGGCCCAAGACTTAGCCTTGTGAGACACCAGATGTTACGCTTGTCATACCTTATTTTGCGCCATTTGCGACTACGTTCACTACGAACAAGATTTAGAATTTTTGGCTGCTAGTAGTGAGATCTGTCCTAGTAGAAAATTTCAGTAAGCTACTTTGCTGTCTGATATTATAATTTTAGAAGTGTCATTCCAGATAGCTATGGCCACCTCTTTACAGTGTGCGGTTGCAAATGACAAGTAGCCCGCGTTTGCAGAGCTGCTGCGGATGCAGTCTGCCAGCCATTTCTAATGTAATGCTGCGTACGCAGAGCAGACTGATACACTCATACCCATGTCCGTCCGTACACTGCCAGCTGTGGTACAGTGGCACGTAGCATGGACGTCAGTCATGTAGGTCATGCCTTTCGTCAGACTATAGCGTTCGAGCTTGTTTCCTCTAGCAAAATATTTCATCCAGAAGCAATAAAATGGAACATTTGGTAACAGAAATGCCTATATCGCCATTACCTCAGTAGTTGTGTTCTGTTCGTTGTCAATGCTCTGCAGAAACAAAAAAAGTAAGTCGTGTCACGAAATGAGGACGCCGGGTCGCAACGCATTACAAAGGAAACGGTCTTGCACCGTCTTTTCACCGCACGTCAAATAACACAAGGTAGTGAAAACTTTCTCGTAGTGCCCCACTAGAGCACCCCTGCAAAACAAACTTCATGGCCTAGTGTCCTCTATGACAGCGCGGCCATTCGTTGCAACGGCCCCTTGTTAGGGGATCATGTCGGCAACTCCTCCGGATACAATAATATTAGTTGTATCTCTGTATGATGTGTGCTTAGAATGCATTACATACCACAATTTCATCTTAAAATTTACAAAACAAGTATTTTTACATATGCCCATGCGCATGACATCTCTTTGGGCGTGATTGACAAATAGAAGACCCCTAAAGAATGATCACAAGTTTTACACAATGAAAGGCACATAACGATGTAAAAATTCTTGTGTTCAATCATGAAAACCCAATAAAACGTGGCTTTGACACAAAGTATTGTTCAATCCACCGATTACCGCATTGCTGAACGTCAGCGGCAAAGCTTTCTGACTGGCTCGCTCACCGACACGCTCAGCATCCTCTTTCTGTGGTCTTGTCTGTCAGACTTCGTGTCCTGAAAGAGAGCCAAACTTCGAAATTCCCGTCCATCGAAACAAAATTTGCTAAATTAGTGATGAACTATTTGTGCCCCAGCACCCTACTGCGCAGAATTGGGTGGTTTCCCACGAGGCAGGTTCACGTAAAGTGGATTAAGAGAGGAACAAAGAAAGATTGCCTCCCTTTGGAATCCCCTATATCCACACTAAAACAGAATTTAACAAAAGTTTAGTGAGAAACTTATCCAGTTTCGTACATTATTGTCGATTGGACAATTTTTGTTCTCCCTTCCTGCGAAGACACTCCCCTCTTCTTTTGATTTGTTTGTTCAGCCCCTTCAGTGTCAGCTTTATGCAACTCGGGCTTTCACCTCAAAGGTAGCTTACTGCTGCTGTAGATGGACTAACGTTTTTGCGACCAGCTACTGATCGTAAACTTTATGAACTACAACAAACATTATGAATAATGACATACGTCGGACGTCAGTGGCCTTTGAGAAGGTGCCAGTTACTACGAAGCCACCAAGTGGTAGGCTGGCAGATGAAGCGACTTGTGAAGTATTATGTACACCGATGACCGAGTGAAGTTACCAGTTGTACTAACAACTTTTACCTTCTGAGCACCTGTCCTCATGTATCCTTGTAGTCTTTACGTTTAGCTTGCGAGATACGCTTCGTACACATCCACATGCTCTATGTATGTATGTATGTATGTATGTATGTATGTATGTATGTATGTATGTATGTATGTATGTATGTATGTATGTATGTATGTATGTATGTATGTATGTATGTATGTATGTATGTATGTAGAGAAAAAATGCTTAGGGACTAGTCGCGCCGCGAAATAGTTCACGACACCTTGACATGCCCATGGACTTCAAGTAAATGCGTGCACACTTTCTTCCCTTGGACTGAAGCATTCCCACATTGCTCAGCTTTGAGAGAAGAAATCTTGATGCACATATTTTCTTCGTTTTTGCTGCCACGATGTTCAAGGTATTGCGCGTGCGTGAATGTACGAACGCAAGTGCATATACACTCAGACGCGCACGCTTGTGAACTGAGATACAAGCCCTTATAGGTATTATTGCTGTATAGCGAAAATGCTATCAACCACACGCGTATGCGCGCCCATGGTCTCGAACAATAAATAGATTAATGAATACCTTCAGTTAGGTCAGAGCGCGTTTGACAGGCCGTAAAATTGTGGAACGCAAGCGGGCGGCACGCTTCATCTCCCCTACCCGACCCCACGTGCATTCCCCGCGTTGTCCAACCGGCACCGCCAGGTCATACTCGCCAGTCGGGATCCCAGCGGGTGGCGACGAACAGCTGGCATCAGTGGAGCGGGGAGATGCTGGGGTTCAAACCGCCTCTCCCCCGCCTCCCCCTTCAGCACCGTTAGATCCCCACCTCCTCCGTTATTGTTTCACGATTGGGAGAGGAGGATGGCGCGACGCTATCGACGGCAACGACGCCTGGCGGTCGCTTGGCGGCACCGCGCCTCCCTTTTTCGAAAAAGAGCCGGCGGTGAGTGCCCCGTTCACTCACGCGCGTCAGCCGCGACGAGCCGCCGCTTGCAGCGCCCACGCTGCCGACGACCGCGAGGGTTCAAACACCGACGAACACGTAGTGCTCGAAATTTGCGAGTTCTGTAGGAGGACGGTACTTCCGAGTACGTGAGACGTTCGCTTGAAAACGGCGAGGGTCCACATCAACGCACGACACAGTTCCCGGCGAGTAATTCTTGACAACACAGTTATACGGCGCCCAGATTGACGAAGGAAGTTGTTGCTGTCGAGTTTGTTCCTGTGTGAACATTATCGTGCAGGCAGTATTTAATTCAAAGTGATGCCTCGTGGCGATGGTTGAGACTGTGGTAAAAACATTTCAGTCCTCTAAAAGACGAAACAAATCCGAGTGAGAATCCTTGTAGCCACCTCATTTGTGAGACCTAGACTACAGTGAAGCGCGGAAGCAACATGCCCCGGGGCTTCCTTCTCCAGAGGTACACCCGCCACAACTCGGATGGTGAGGACAACCGCTCGGACTCGTCCTCTTCCTCGGACGATCACGACGCCGTCCGGTTCGCCTCCTCGCCGCCAGCAGCGGTCGTCAAAAGCTGCGAGTCGCTGCTCCTCCGGGCCACCGCTCTGCTGCAGCCGGACCACGCGTCTACGCCTCCGTCTTCTCAGGATGCGGCCAAGAAGAAGAAGTTGTCTCCCACGGGGCCACCGCCTCTCTTACACGGAAGTCCTCCACGGAAGAGCGCCAGCACTGGCGCTCCTCACAAGCGCACCTCCAGCGCTTCGCCTTCGCCGCACAACAACCGAGCCAGCGGGGGAAGCAACGGCGGGCCTGGAACTGTGAACGGTGCCGCAAAGTCCGCCGTGCGCCGTCTCCTCTTCGACGAGGACACACTGTCTCCAGTATCCGGCACTTTCATTCGACCTTATAGCGACGAGGACGACCTAGAACTCGACGAAGAGCTCGACTACGACATTCCGGCCGCGCTGAATCCCGTCGTGGTGAGCGAGGAAGCGCGTGCCGAGCTGGCCAAGATTGAGAACAAGATCGGCGCCTACGTGTGCCGCCTGTGCCGGCAGCGGTTCGGCGACGCGTTCGGGCTCGCCCAGCACCGGTGCTCGCGCATCGTGCACCTCGAGTACCGGTGTCCCGACTGCGCCAAGCTGTTCAACTGCCCCGCAAACCTGGCGTCACATCGCCGCTGGCACCGGCCCCGGAACGAGACGGGAGGCAGCGCGTCACCGTCGGCCGACTGCAAGCAGCAAGGCACCTCCGCGTCCGACGAAGAGGCGGTGGGACCGTACGCGTGCCCCGTCTGTCCCAAGAGGTTCCGCAGGCTCGCCTACCTCCGCAAGCACGCCAACGTTCACACGCAGGCTGAGGCCACGTGAGGGAGCAGCGACTTCCTACCGGTGAGTGCGGTCGTCTTGCGCATCTCGCGTTTAGTTGCTGTTGTTCCCCGGATACTCAGCGCAACTCACTTCGGAGCATAGGCCATGAATTTGCTGCTACCTTGCTCAAGAAATGGGTTCACTCGCTCAAGGATGGGGTTGAAAAATGAATAGTTTAGCCTTAACACAATAACAATATAGCATAGTAATCTTTAAAAAAGCAATAACTAAAATCAATCAATATATACAGCCGTGAGGAAAGAAATAAATGTTTCAACAAGAAACTGACTTGAGTTACACGTGACATTTAAATCTTTTGGACACCGCATCATTCGTATTCTTTCTTATTCTCAATATACACACAACAACAATTCCTTCTGGAGCACACGTTCCGCATAAAAAAAAAAGACGGAGGTCCCACCTAGTGTAGACCTTTTCGCTGTTTACAAAGAGAGGTGCTGGGCGGCTTCCAGTTCTGTGCACCAGCGTTGCCTAAGAGCATTGACGGGGACCGAATGCCTTAGCAAGTATCCCGCTCATATTCAACACTTTTCTCCCCTTTGCCTGGCCAAATAATTCAAAAACATTTTCTTCTAAGCTGCACACAACATTCTAGGACTTAGTCGTTAACTTCAAATGCTTTACCTCTACCAGAAAGGGGAAAAATAGGTTTGTTTAACTCTCGCACCACTAAAAAAAAAAGTTTTCTGCTTTAGTGATAGAGAGGGATAATTGAAGTAACCGGAAGTTTCTTAGGAAGCAACACGTGCTGCTGCTATTGCTATGTTAACACCGACTAAAAAGGCGAATAGAAAATTTGCCGTAACCAATTAAACTTACCAACCTGCCGTAGTTTTTTGGCGACCTGCGCAGGTAACGGTCAAATAATAAACATCATGTGTTAACAAAATAGTAGTTCGCATGGGCCGTGGAGTTGATACCTCATAGGCTTTTGTTACTAAACGAGTCCGTAAAATTCACCTTCGCATTCGTGATAATTTCTGGCGCCCCAATTTTCAAGAGAAAATTGAGGCTACGCTTCTGCTGGTCACATGAAGGCAAGGAGCCCTTAGGAAAGGTAAGATTTTGCGAACTCGACCCCAGTTACATTTTGCCACGTCCACTTCTACGCCGCTACCTGCTCCCCGTAAGTGTTATTTTTCTTCAACAATGCCAAGCCCTTAGCACCTCGTGGCATTGCAGGGGAAAGGGCGCAGAGGAAACGAGGAAAAAATTCAAAGCATACTGAGTGGCAGCGAGCCTTAGCAGCATCAAGGAAACATACGTAAATACACAGGCAGCAGTATCGTTATTGTAACACTGATTTATCTTCCTGATCTATTAATGCTACCTTGTATAGCTGGAATAACGTGCTTTTTTTGAAGTGACACAAGGCAGCGAGCGAAAGAGGGAGAAAAAAAATAAAGGCGTAATATATGATGGTTTGTAATTCAACAAAAAATGAAGTACAACATGGGGTGAACCTGCATGCTTCTCGCGGAAAACACTCAGATAATGCGCTTATTGCCCTAATTATTGACGCAATAGTTTGTAAGCATGGTAATAATCACGTGAGCATAATCTGACGTGATTGCCATTACAAGAAGTATATGCGTAATAAACATACTATATGAGTAACATATATTTCGTGACCTGGACTTGTCAAAGTTTAAGTTACTTGGAAGACTAAAAAGAAAGAGTGTGAATGTGCAGGCATCCACCGTAATGTTTTCACGGTAATCAAGCAAGATATTACGGGGACTGCACTCTAGATATATTGGGCAAGTGATTGTAGCATGAAAAAATCAGTACTACGACCAGAATCAGATGTTTGTGCTCACAGATCCCGCAGCCTGCGAATAGATAATTTTTTTTCTTTTTTGCATTAAAATTGTGTCAGGTAGGAGTTTGGGAACATGCTACTTGCATCATTAAAATGAACGATGTATTCAAATATGACCAACCACGCGCAGTACAATGAATGATGTACTCATATTAATCAACCGTTTGGCCCTCCGTCTAAACAATTCCAACTGGAACGAACTCCTTCCGGAAATATCACTTCTAGGTGAAATGGCAGAAAAAGAAGCGAGGCTTACGAAGAATCAGTGTCGTGTGTTTAAGGACCCTGTGAAATAGGAAAGGCTTGAGTTCCTAAGCACATTGAAAGAGTAGCAAATAGAGGCATCCGCCACAACGTTGTTCCAGCACAAGACTGCAGAAAGAAGGGAATAGGCAAATGTAATAAATGAACTTCATTGTGAAAAATGTGTGTAGAGTCTGCTACTTCTGACCAAGGTAGAAACATTTAGAAGGTACACCGATTTTAGATAATAATGTAGCCTTGATCACCTCAGTGGGTGTTATTCAAGATGGGTAAAAAAGTAAACACATCTAAGGTACGAAAAACACGAAAATACGTTCATGCAGGTGTTCCTGCGCATTCAACAGAAGCGCCCGTTGTAGTAAAGAATATAACTCATCTTCGGGAAGGTCGACAACACAATCATCTAACTTATTCAATTCACGACTAGTTAAAGGAATATAAAGTATTGAGCAAAAATATTTCCGTACTTCTAAGCTTCGCCTTTAGGAGTTGAACGAAATAGCGATATCCTGTCCCTAGTGCGTACTTCAACACTTAGTGCATGAAATCTTTACGAACCTGCTAGACCGTGAAATTTTTTCGAACTTGCTATGCACCCACTACGTGGCCTTCTGGGCACAGGTTTGTGTTTTGTAGTGATTGACGGGCTTTAAATCGTGAAGTCATTATGATAATCACATGTTTTAACGTGTGATGTCAATTTACGTTGTTACTACGCTTTATTACTGCAATATTTTGCGGTGTATTGTGAAGCGCGTAACAGGACGCGTGTGTTTGTAAAGCGCTAGATATTTTCACTCCATTTTCGAGCACAGACAGTTATTTTCACTGCATCGACAAGCAGCGGCGTGGCTCTATGGTAGAACATCAGTTTGACCAGCGAACGACCCGTGTTCGATCCCCCCTGGGACCAAGAATGTTTCTTATTACTTATTTCTATTTGCATCGCGTTCTCGGTTTTTTCGGTCACGCATAAGGTGATGATTTTTCCCTCACAACCAACGACGCCGACGCCGGTGCAGGAATTTCCGAAAATCAAGCCCTTGAATGCTAGCGCTTTAAAACATTAGTTCGACAGCTTATTTCATACTTGTAAGGGTAGTGTTAGTGCACACGGTCTTAAAAAAGGCACACTGACCCACAGATAGAAGCGCTATAGTTGATAGATCGTTTCCGTCTGTGTGTCAATGTGTCGTCCTCTAATACTTGTCCACTAGCACTGCCATTTCAAGTACAGATGTTCAAATCGTCCTAAAAACAGCATTCTTACTTCACGTATTTTTTAGAATGATCATTTCTATGTGATACGTCGTGCGGGCTTATCATGTGCGAACTTCTGTTAGTATGACTTTCATGACAACAATGAAGCTAAACACTTCAATCGGAAGATGGAGACGATAGTAGACGGGCATGTCTACATTGATGCAGTACAATAACACACCACCAGAGGAAGGTTTCAAGTCCGAGAAGAAGGCCGCACGCCCACGCTGTTGAGAGGCCCTCCTTTTTTTCTCATATGCGAAGGATCAAACTGGATGCTCCACTTTCTGGTTAACCTCCCTGCCTTTCCCTCATTTTATTCTCTCTCTCTTTCCATGAGGGAGCAAAAGTGCAGAGAGAGAGAGAGAGTAAGAGAGTGATAGATAAAACGAAGGAAATGGTGGATGGTTAAGAATCGGCTCTCTTAGCTTGGCTACCGTAATTGATAAAAGGCGAAAAAGAAATCGAAGCTAACCATAGTCGTTGATATTGATGAGCAGCAGGTGCACTCGCACTCTGTTGCCCGCGTGCCTTGTATTCCAACTGCGTGTTTGTGGCACTGTGGAACTGCTTGTCAGAGGTCACGTAGAAAGAATCGCACGATCAATAATAACAATTGTTAGAGTTTAACGTCCCAAAACTACGATATGATTGTGAGAGACGCCATAGTGGAGGGCTCCGGAAATTTCGACTACCTGTGGTTTTTCAACGTGCACCTAAACGTAAGCACATGGGTCTCAAACATCCTCGCTTCCATCGAAAACACGGCCGCCGTGGCAGGGATTCGATCCCGCGACCTGCGGGTCAGCAGCGAAGTTTCTCAGCCGCTAGACAACCGTGAATGGTAAGAAGCGCTGGGTTGTCACATCCTCGCTTCCATCGAAAACACGGCCGCCGGGGCAAGGATTCGATCCCGCGACCTGCGGGTCCGCAGCCAAGTTTCTCAGCCGCTAGACAACCGTGAATGGTAAGAAGCGCTTGGTTGTCAACCGCTTCACCGGGCGTAGCTACGATATCAGCTGCTTTCAAGAATATCATGTGCTCTTTCAATGAATTCATTCAATTCCTGTTCACTAATTACCTTGAACGTTGATTTATCTTAAAGCAGGTCTATGCCCCGATACCATATGTATGCATCAAAGCTCAGTACCTGACTGAGAATCGTTTATTCAATACCAGTTTTACTTTTTTTTTATTTTTTCTGAATATTTGGGAAATCGAAAGCAAGTATTCGGTCAAAAATACTTGTAAAAGAGACAAGGTTATAGCTCAGTGTTCGTACCACTAAAGTGATGAGAAAGAGCACGGTGAGTTGGTATGTGCACAGGTATACGGACGAATGGGCTACACCAACGTGGGAACTCGCCAACCACTGGCCGCCAAGAAGAGTTCATTAACTTTGTGGAGGCCTGTCTGGGGATGTTTACTTCCGAGAAGCTGTTGACCATCTAACATGCTCGGGCTACCCACAAAGCATATCACTGAGGCTCGGAGGATTGATAGAGGCAAAAGTCGATGAGCCGCTACATACGTGAGGTGATTGTACGAAGCTATCGCTCATTTTGATTACGCCCCGTGCACAAATATCGATGTTGTATTAATGGACATGCATGCACGGAAACAAACAAATATT